ATAAACAAAACCAAGAATGTGTCCTTGACTTACATTCTTCTAGATAATTATTAGGCACACATAGAAGAATTGAACTGAGCAGGTCACCATTCCTACCAGTTCCTAATGTGAGAAAGGCACACTTAGTGGGGGCCAGTGGGTGGAGGTGTTGATGGTCATGGAAATAGTGAAATGGATTGGAAGCAAGCCCAGCTTTATTAGCAGAGTCTGGTGACCAGCCGGGGAAAAGAAACACATTCTGTGTTTATTTTTCACTGTGTTTCATTAACCATACAGACAGGCAGAAGAGCAGGGGAGAGAAAAATCAAACAGTACACTTGAGTGCACTTGCCTGGAATACAAGTGCCTTTTTATTTATTTATTTTTTTAAAAAATGAAGTTACAATTTTGTAATTAGGTCAAATTTTCCCATGCAAGCCCAGGTTAGTGCTTACTCCTCTACCATCTTAAATCTTTTGAATTCTTCTGTCAAGTGAGATACAAATTCTAAGTATTCACCAATTGCACAAATAACAGGAGTTAATTGCATGACCTAAAATATTTATATAAAATCGACAAATCTCTTGTGATTATATTATTAGAAACACTATAATTGCATGCCATTTTAGCTGATATTCCTATATAAGTGTATGATGCTAATGAAATAGAGGTTTTTATTTTTATCACAGTATTTTTTTAAAAATTCAAATCTAACATCATAGTATTATGGGAAAAGAAATGCACAATTATTGTTTTATGCCATCAAGTCAGAGCAGACCCTTCAGGAGATTTTCAGAAATAGTTAACCACACAGAAAGAGATTGTCCATCCTTCTCCCACAGAGTAGCTGGTGGCTTCAACCTGCATGACTTTGAGATTGAAGTGCAACTTCTTACCACTAGGTCACCAGAGCTCACCAGAGTCTTGGGCATCCCGTAGTTTGATCAAACTTTGGTGACATGAATTCTTTGACTCATATACTGTCCTCGTCTGAAGCAGGGCTGTCTGAGTTTGAATTCAGATTCCTCTCACTAGCTGTACAATGTTAAGCAAATTGTTAGCCTTCCCTGTGCCTCAGCTACCATTGAAAGTAGAAGAATTAAGATCTCATCTCCTTGTGCTGTTTTGAAGTCCACATAAATTCAGATGTACAAAGTACTTAGAATAGTGTGTAGCCCACAGTAAGTTTTAGCCACTAGCAATGCCATGTAGAGTTCTCGTGCCTTAGTGGTAAGGAGTTATGCTGCCAACCCAAAGGCACATGGTTTAAATCCACCAACCACCTCTGAAAACCCTCTGAAAAATTCAGCTATGAGTTGCTTCCAACTTAATGGCCCACACCACCACCACCACTACTAATCCCCTTTTTTGGTGTACCTTTTAAAAGTTATTAATGTAATTTCTACTTCATATTTTTTAATTGTAAAGTCTACGAATCTCTTCTAAACTATAGATATTGTGCTAGATAGAAATGGTACTTTTGAGTCATAGTTAATGTGGGTTCTTACAGGGTGACTAATAGTTAGATTGAGAAAAAGTATTTCATAAGTCATGCTGATGGTGTAGTCTGCAGGCAGTTGTGCTGCTAACACAAAAGACGACTCTTCTCTGACAGTTCAAATCTGCCAGAGGCTCTGGGGGAGAGGCATTGGCAATCACCTCCTGTGTGGTTTGTAACCTTCAAAAACCTGCTGGAGATTCAGCTATGAATAGGCTCCAATCCAACACCAGTGAGGTTTTTTGGTGTGATTTATGCTGCAAATGAGATCAGCATGTCCAAAAGTGATTAGCTTACTCTCTGACATTTAGTATACCATGAAAACATGTTATTTACTTATCAGATGTCCACTTGCTGTGTAATAGAGAAGGATAAACAATATTTCTTGGAGTTTGCCAGTAAGAAGCTATTTATTTCAGGGACTATTACTTTGAAATTTTCAGCAGAGAATAGTACAGAAATCTTAACTGTAAGGTTTAACATTTTGTTGTTATGTGCCAGCAAGTCAACTACAACTCATAACGACTCTGTGAAGTGGATCTGAACCCTGCCCTATCCTATGCCATCCTGACCATGTCTGATTCACTTGAGCCCATTAGTTAGTCGCCGTGTCAAACCATCTTGCTGTGAGACTTTGTCTCTCATGCTGGCTGTTCACCGTTCCAAGCGTGATGTCCTTCTCCAAGGACTGGCCCCTCCTCACAACATTTCCAAAGTAAATGAGATGGAGTTTGGCACTCCATGGTATATTCAGTACTTTTCTCCAACAACGTAACTTAAAGGCATTGATTATTCTCCTGTCGTCCTCAGTTACTGTGCAACTTTCAGTTGCTTAACAGCTAATTGACAAGACCAGGGTTTAGATCTGGCACACCTTAGTCTTTGAAATGATATTATTCCTCTCTAGTACTCTAGATAGGTCTCTAGTAGGAGATTTTCCCAACATGATATATCTTTTGATTTCTTGACTGGTGGTAGTAAGGGTGTGATTGTGGATCCAAATAAGTTGAAATCATTGACAGTTCAATCTTTTCTCCATCTACCATGATGTTGCCTATTTGCCCAAGTGTTGAGGATTTTTGTTTTCTTTTTTTAAAATATTTTTTAATTGAGATTCTAATGAAAGATTATAGAAGACTTGGATTTCCATTCATTCATTGTTGCACATTTTTCTTCTTGCCCACTCCTCCCCCAGTTCACTTTTTTCTTTGAGAAAAAAAAAATTCTTTCATTGTTATACAATCCCCCTCTCCCAGTCCACTTTACTCTGCAGCTCTTATTCTGGGCTCTTGTTATGCAAATAATACCTAATCATATATTCCTTTTAAACAGTTCTCTCCCTCCTCTGTTTCAATGTAGTGTACAGTAGTTATCCCCTCTTTTCTTAGTTTCCCCCCCAAACCTGATGTCAGTCCTGTTTTATAACAGTGACATTATGTATTATTTGTCCTTTTGTGACTGACATATTTGACTCAGCATAATGTCCTCCAGGGTCACTCGTTTTGTATAATATTTCATGATTTCCTTGCTTTTCCAATGCTCCATAGTATTCCATTGTGTGAATATACCACAGCTTCTCTATCCATTCATTTGTTGATGGGCACTTAGGTTGTTTACAACTCTCTGCTCTTGTGAACAAAGCCATGATAAACATAGGTGTGCATATATCTTTCTGGGTGGCAGTTATGGTTTCTTTGGGGTATATTCCCAGTAGTGCAGTTCCTGGGTCACATATTTCTATTTCCAACTTTTTGAGAAAATGCCATACTGCCTTCCATAATGGCTGCACCATTTTACACTCCGACCAATAGTGAATAAGGGTTCCAGTTTCTCCACACCCTTACCAGCATTTGATGTTTGCTGTGAAGATTTTTGTTTTCTTGATGGTGGGATATAATCCAAATGTTTTAGGGCTAATGTTAAGATGAAATCGATAATGTTTCAAGGAGAACTAATTCTATATTATGCACTACTGAGAGAACAATCAGATCTTGTCCTAGAGAAAGTGAAACCAGGGTGATCTTCGGAGGCGAGGATGGTGAAACTCTGTCTCACATACTCTGGCATGTTGTGAAGAGGGGATGGTCCTTAGTGAAGGGCATCACATTGGAAAAGTGGAAGGTCAGTGTCAGAGATGAAGACTGTCAATTTGATGGATTTACTCACTGACTGTAGCAGTGGGCTCGAGTGTGGCAAAGATGGTACTGATGGCACAGGAAAAGTCAAGGTTCAGAGCTGTTGTTCAGTGTTGCCATGAATCATAGTCAACTCAGTTTACATAACATAACAACAATGACAATTTTATCTTAAGGATCCAAGCCCTGGAGGCATTGTGTATAATGTGTTGGGCTGCTAACCAAAAGATCAGAGGTTTGAATCCACCAGTTGTTCTGTGGGAGAAAGAGGGGAATATCATGAAGATTTGCAGACTTAGAAATCTGATGGAGGTCTGTTTGAGTGGAAGCTAACTCAGCAGCAATGGACTTGGCTCGGTTAATTTTATCCTGCAAAGTTCCAGAACATTAGATGAAAATTTATGCAGGTGAAGTCAATATTATTTTTTCTCCCTAATGGGTAATACTTATCAAGCTTTACTTGAGATTGGACATGTTATCGAACTTATCTAAATACTTACTTCCATTGTGTCCAAAAAAACCCCTCTGGAGTGTCATCTATGAGCTGGGTCTGACTTGGAAGCAATGAACTTTTTGGGTTTGTTGGAGGGTTTTTATTTGTAATGTTGTTATTGTTGTTATGCGGCATGGAGTCAGAGCCGACCCACAGCTCACCCTCCAGTGAGTTTTCTGAGGCAATAAATTGCTAGAGAGGAGATTGTTTCTTTCTCTTCTGTGGAACACTTGGTGAACTTGAACCACGTGCCTTGGGTTGCTAGCACCACTTCTTACCTCCTGGGCCACTTGTTGTGGTTGGGTACCATCGAGTCAGAACAGACCCATTGCTGACCCTTGGTGGGTTTTCAGAGACAGTTAATCAAATGGGAGGAGATTGTCCATCCTTCTCCTGCAGAGCAGCTGGTGGATTTGGACTGTGTTGTTTTGGGACTGCAGCCCAACGTCTTATCACTAGGCCACCAGAGCTCCCTACAAGGCAATTACAGCCCTCTGTTTGAGTTTATATTATACTGTGTATATAATGATTGTCCAAACCTACTGCCTGCCATCAAGTTGCCTCCAAATCCTAGTATTCCTCCATTGGGTTTCGAGGCTTTAAATCTTTGTGAAAGGAAACTGTTGTCCATCTTTCATCCATGCAGAAGCTTGTGGATTTTAACTGCTGACCTTTTTTTTTTTAACAGTTCTAAACATTAGGGTCACTTAACAACAACAACAAGAACAAACATTAGGTATATATAAATCTATTATTTATTTATTTCTAGATAAAGAAACTAGTAAGGGGGGGGGGGTAAAGCCCAAGAATCAGTGCTAGAAGTGAGGTTAAACAAATATATATAAGGTATAAATTACATTATTTGAGTTTAAAAAGAGTGTTCAAACATTCTTACCTCGAGGATGGGGCACATAATGTCTGCTGTGACATCGCCATGATTCTTACAGAATTTATAGAATGCTTCAAGGTAAGACTTTTAAAAGTAAAAGATTAAGAAACAAAATAAATACAGTTTCCTTTAGTAAATTTCTATGCTTCTCATGACTTCTACAAGGCTTTAGTGAAAATCAAAACAATTCTTCACAGGAATATATAATAAGTGTGGTATAAACTTTCACTTTCCAACATGTTGCACAGACAAAAAGAAAACTCTGTAAAGAACAAACTCAGTAGCACTTAATGTACGTTATATTTTCTCAGTAGGCATTATTTTTGAATGGTTCTTAGATATTATCTAGTGTTTACCTCTGTCCTTAGTCCTCTGTTAGATTCCACATGGTTAAATCTTATGTTTTAATCTGAGGACCAAGCTTTTTTATTGGTAGAATACAGATTCAAACTCAATAAGTAACTGTAGACTTTGTCCTATATTGACATGGTGTCCAAAGTGCACATTTTGTATGGCTTTGAGTATAGAGAATACAATGGAATGTTGTAGAAATCCAGACTGTAGGGTCAGATGGCTTATGATTCAATTGCACTTCTTTACTTAGTGGTGCTCCGGAGGCCCAGCTGATGAGGAGTTGTACTGCCAACTCAGAGGCGGTGGTTCAAATCTACGAGATGCTCTGAGGGAGAAAGATGGGCTGTCTTCTCCCACATAATTTGTAGCCCCTGAAAACTTGCTAGATGGTAACCTATGAGTCTGTTTTCACTCCTCTACAATCAGTAGAGAGTAGTGATGGAATTCTACTGAGTAAACCTTATCTCCCTCAGTTCTCAGGGATAGTACACATATAATTGTTCAGAGTGGATTAATCCTTTCCCCAGAATAGTTCTTCTGTTAGTGATATCTCAAAGATCCTTTTTCTCACTGCATACACCTCTTCATAAAAAGGAAAATTGGCTGTATAAAAAGACCATGTGTTTCTGCATAGCACGTTGATGTATACAGTAGGTAGTCATCTGCTATGTTGTACACTGGCAGTGGATTAAAATCACATGGGCAATACAGCTGGGAGGCTCAGGGGATCTTTGTAAGGATCAGGGCAGAGATGAATGCCAGAAACAGAAGGTTCACTCTGCATGCAGCTGACCTTAATTAAGATTCATTGACTTTTTCATCCAATTCATCTATTTACCTACACACCTCATCCTTTTACCCTACTCATTTATCCATTTACACACCATACATCCAACCTATCAGTACTTTTTATGTTCTAAGTACTGTGTAAGACCAGACACCAGCTGGATTGTCATAGTGACTTCTGCAATGGGCTTGAGTAAGTTAGAAATGAAGAGGATGGCACAGAATAAGAAAGGGTTCAGCTTTGTTGTTTGTAGGGCCAATATGAGTCATATTTGACTCTATATCATCTAACAAGAAATTCTGTGCAAGGAGTTAGGGATACAGAGAAAAAGGGGACACACTGTTTCCTCTCAAGCTCATTGGGGTAGTTGACAGCATGTATTTAACTAGAAGATGGACCGTGATGATGACAACTATATTACAAATATGCATAACTTTATAATATAGGAGTTGGGTAATGGACAAAGTACCTTTTAATAAAGAACTCTAATCATAATATCTTGCTAAACAAAGAAAAAAAACATTACATGGGGAGATAATTACCTTGTAGAGTTTATTGCGCAATAATTCAATATTCAGTTCATCTAGGGTATTTTCAGACATACAATCTTGAAAAAATGGAGCTGAAAGCACAGGCAACCACAAATAAAAAAATAATCAGAATCATGGTTACACATTTTAAAGAAATGTATCTCGAACACACCACTTTGTGATCATTCCTGATTGGATGAGTGCATGAATTTGTAATACAGACTGAATCAGTCTGACACATATGACAATAATAACAAAAATACCAAACTCACTGCCTTTGAGTTGATTCCAACAGAATTTCCAAGGCTATAAATACATTTAAATAAGCAAATTGTCACATCTTTTTCTTGCAGTGGGTCAGTTTGAACCATCAAACTTAGGGTTAGCAGAGAGGCACTTAATCCCGTTCTCATCAGGATTCTTTAATGATGAAACAAAACCCTGTTGCAAAGGAGTCAACATCCACTCAGTAACTCCAAGGGACAGAGTAGAACTGCACTATACGGTGTGCTAGGCTTTAAATTCTTATGACACTAGCCTGCCACATCTTTCTCCAAAGAATCGCGATTCAGATTTACTAACCTTTTGTTAAGCAGCCAATGGTTCACCACATGGCTACTTAATACTACTAGTAATAAGTAAACTCAAACTCATTGTTGTGGAGTCAGCTCACCGTTCATCCTCTAGAGGTGACCTGTAAATATTCAGAGGCTATAAATTGCAAGGGAGTAGTGTGCCCGTCCTGCCTGCTTTTGAGTTGGCTAAACTTCTTAGCCACTAATAGCAGTTCTTAAGTTTTTATTATCTGCAATATTTATGTCAAATAATATAGACATTCTAATTCATGACAACATTTTAATTTTACAACATTTGGGGCCTTATTTACTTAAAGCTTACTTTTTTTTTTTTTTGTCTGTGTGATCAGTAGTCTTTTATCCATCTTATACACCAGCTTGGTTGAGTGAAAGGCAATGAATTTTAAAGGAGATTCTCTGACATTCACAAAGAGATATATTTATACAGTTTAAAGATTCTAGCTAATCTAAAAATCTCAAGACTCATTATTATCAAGTCAGAACAGACTCATAGCTGGCCTTCAGTTGTTTCCCAAGGTTAAAGCTTATTTTTTTTATAAAAAACCAAAACCAAACACCTTTTTACTGTGATTTGAGTGAAAGTTTACAGAGCAAATTGGTCTTCCATTCAACAGTTAATATCTATTTTGCTTCATAAGACTGATTACAGGCCTCACATTATAACCGTATTCTTCCTAATTCCCCCCTGTGTTTCCCATTTCCGTCTGCCTTTCCTATGCCTGAGCTTTATGCCTTGGCAAAGGCTGCCCTTTTGATCTCAAATGATTTGTTCTAAGGAGTGCTTTCCTCCCTGGTGCTCTTGATAGGCTTGCCTATTGTTTGGCTGGAAGTTAAAGTTTACTTTCTGAAGTACCTTCTATCATCTGGCACTAACATCTACCATCGGTGGCCTTCCTGAGTGGCAGACACTAAGTGGTACTAATATTTTGTCAGGTGCTGTCAAGTCACTTCTGACTCTTAGCCTAGAACTGTCTTATAGGGCTTTACAGGGTGTTATCTCTATGGGAACAGGCTGCCAGGTCTCTGTCCTACAGATCTGTTGTGTGGGTTCAAACTGCTAAACTTTTCGTTAGCATCAGGGTCCTGAACCATTGCACCATCAAACTCTGCATACTATATAGTAACTGACCATTGTTTTTTAAGATGTAGTAGTGAATTGAATTGCCCCAAGCCACCTTGTTAGGGCTAGGCAGAGCCTGGCTTCACACCTACACCTGTCTGAGTCCGGGATCATGCCTATTCCATCAAGTTATGCTGCGTCCAGTAATGGACAATTAATGATGACATAAGGTGAGGTTTTTTTTCTTTAAAAATTTTTGTGTGTGTGTTGCTATTGTTAAGTGCCATCGAGTCGTAGGCGACTCATAGTGATCCTATGAACGAAAGTCCTTAACATTTGTGTAACTTTCATCCTTTCTCCAGGTTCACAGGGAGGCAAACTGTTTCCAGAGGCAAACTGTTATGGAAGTGGATGCCATTCCTGCTTCCAAGCTTGTTTTAATCGGGGAGCTCCACTAAGCACTGTGCACCATGGGTAACAATTATCTCATTTGACACATCATTGTCACAGTGTTCAGCTTCACAGCAACCATGAGTTACCTCTGTACGGCAAGTGCACACACTAGGGCTATATGGCCTAGGAGAATGTTTGAACAAAAACAATGAAAAACAGGCCTGAGGATCACGGATTAAAAGTCACCCGCGTTTGGCTTGGTAGCCTCACTTTCTGTCCACTAGGTCAACTGATCTCTATGTTGATGTTATTGTTGTTAAGTGTTCTTGAGTCACAGGCGACTCATAGCATCCCTATGAATGAAAGTCCTCAACACTTGTGTGACTTTCATAGATTAAGTTGTCATTACCTAGGTTTCCAGACAGTATTAGATAAATAATGTTTATAAAGTGATTCTTTCAGCATTTCAAATGTATAACTACTATAATAAATTTAATATTCATTTCAGTATTGCTTTAGGCCATTTGACAGATGCTTTTAAGCATTGGGGGGTCTGGGGGATACCAATCCTGAGCTTTTACACGGCAGTTTAAAAGAGAAGTGTCAGTAACTAATCATGCAAAACCAAATTAGGCCATCTTTTTAAAGATTACAAAGTCTATCATTTAATTACAAAGGTAGAGTGCAAATTACAAAGGTCTGGAGATTGGGATGTAAGCCCAGCCAGTTCTTTATTACAAGTAGCCTGTTTGTGGCCCTGAGCAGGTCATTTTACTTAGTATGATGAGAAAATTGAGGGAGCTAGCCTGGATATTTCCATCTTAATCCTTCTGTATAGAATGACACTACTCATGGGGGGGAAATGGAATTGAAAGTACATTATCTGATGACTTTGATAACCTGCATAGTCAACACTAGAGTTGTTTATTCACTCTTACCTAATGGCGTTTCAACCAAAATGGCCTTAAAGAGATCTGTAGCTGATTCTGCAATGTTGACTGCTTCCATCTCCACGAAACTTCCTAGTGGGTGGCACTTTACCAAAATATCCTTCACCGGTTTCTTCTGTAATGCACCATTCATCAGTAGGATCACATTGTCGATCATGTAACTGCACCTGGTGTAGAAAAAGTTAACAGAGCAATTAATAGGGAAACAACCACAGTAGAATAAGAATGATAAATAAACTCACACTACACAGCTCTGGTGGCCTAGTGTAAGAATCTGTGCTACAATCGCAAGGGAACATGGTTCGAGTCCACCAGCTGCTCTGCAGGAGAAGGATAGGCAATCTCCTTTCATCCAGTTACCATCTCTGAAAACCTACTGGGGCATCAGCTATGGGTTGCTTTTGACTCGACGACACACCACCACCACCACCACTGCCATACAGTTCTGGTAAACAATCTTCCACCAAAGAACTACGTGAGTCTTTTAAACTGTGGGTTTGTGAGATGTGAAGTTCTGACCCTGGATTTGTAATGGTTTGAAAAGATATATTTGGTGCCATCAAGTCAATTCCACATGTTACCAACTAGATTTGCTTGATAATATTTTCATAACTTAAATCTTTATGGAACCAGTTTTTTCTTTTAGTGCCACTGGGTGGGCTTGAACCACCAACTTTTCAGTTACTACATTACTGAGAACCATTTGGACCCACCCAAAGACCTTTATTTACCCCCCCTCCAAGACCTTTAATAACCAACTAAAGCCAAATAAAGCCTTGATTGGGTGATGCAGAAGGTGGATGTTACACAGTAACTCTCGGATGTGCTGGTAATAGGTGATGTTACGGAACTGAGTTATCAAAATCGGCTTGACATATAAAGAAACACAGACCTAGAGAATCTACTTTTAAATAACTGGCCATTGGAATCTGGAATAGAGCCCCCTCACTGTGCAGCTGAAATTTAGTGTGAAAAATATTCTGTGCTCTTTTCTTCCTATGAGCCTAGATACTTGATTTTCTAGCTACTTTCTAATTTTTAAATCCATCTCTCTCAAAAGTCCATTGGTCCACGTTTATGTAATTTGCTTTCTCCATATAAATTCTCCCCAGGATCTTCTTGGTCGTGTTCTTATCCCTCCGTGTGCTCAGCACAGGATATTCCACTCAATAAGATTAAAAAAATAAAAAGAACAAAACAAAACACAATCCCTTTTTCCAGAAAACACATTTTTTTGGTACTTGAAACTTTAATAATATCAATTACATCCAGTTTCTCTTCTTACCCATTAGTCAATAGCATTTATTTGACAACCATTCTGTAGAAGGAAAAATAGAAGAATGACAGCTCCTAATTGTCCTTAAAATAGCTCATTTAAAGGGAAGAATTGGATAAAAACTCAATGACAGTGAAATTTAGGGAAGTATCTGATCTATAACTAAGGCTATTCTTTACAAGGTGTGTGAGATTCATAGCTGGGCATGAAAACTGTCTGTGGATCAGACTCTTAGGGAAGAAGCATTCAAACGAAAGGTAAAGAACAAGTAGTTGTCAGATAAAAGGGGCTTGTTAGGTGCTGCTGAGTCTACAACTCACAGTGATTCCTGGGAATAATGAAAAGATTGGATCGTTTCAAGCCAGAAGAGTATGTGAAATGGTCAAGAGGTAGAGAGAGTCCCACATTTGTTCGAGCTTGTTTCTTTTCCCCTTCTCACTGGAGGTGGGCCTGAGGCTGAGTGTGCAACGTCCTGTAAGGTTAGATGAGGAACTTCAATGTCATAAGATGTGTCCCACTCCACATCCATTAAAACCCTTTGTTGCCCTCCACCACTGCTGATTCACATAGAAAGTGGGTAAAATAGGTGAAATGGCAAGCAAGCAATCACATAATAAAGCACTTTAAGAAGATTAACTTACTTAATCATACTTTATGGATGTAAAAAGAAAATAAAAAACAGCTGCTCTTTTCTGTGGGGTTGGAACCAACTCATTTGAATAAGTTTAGAGAGGCTACAAATATAACAGGAGGAGATTGTCTTTCTTTGTTGGATTTGAATTGCCAGAGGCATCAGTTTTGATGTAGCAGTACGATTTCCTACAGACTATAAGATTTACTACCTAATTTATCAAGGTGGGCAATCTCTTGTGCAATTAAGTTGTTGAGTTGAAGTACTTAAAATAAAAAAAAAAAAACACCAACCAACAAACCAACAACAACAAAAAAACCCAAGCAAACAACAAACTTCAAGTGATCTTGTTCTAGCATCATCCTCTAACATTTTTATTATGCTCCCTTTAGTTGTCAAAGATGAAACATGGATGGATAAGTAGGTCTAAAAACCTGTGGAACCATCTACAGAGGCAAGAGCTTTGGACAAAAAAAGAGGTAGCGATAGCTATAGCTATTCTGGACACAATTTGGTGAAGGAAGACCCAGAAAATACAGAGGAGAGGCCAAGACACTTGTGGACCAGAAACAATAGGGTATTAAGAGAGGATATTTAGAGGTGGGAGCAGAAGTCTTGGGCTGATTGAGATGCCATCCTAATGTATATGTAATAAAGAATTCTGTCTTGAAAACTCTGGGGAGCCCCAACATTTAGAGAGCTTGAAGGAGGCTGGGGGGAAAAGACAAAATGGTAGAGGAAAACTAGAAATAAACTGAGTGTGAAGGTCATAGAGAAGTCAAGGTGAGCAAACTGCACACCCTCCCATCTACACACACACTTGTATGCACATCTGCAGAAGACTTTTGGTGGGGGAGAGGGTGTGGAGAAGGATGTACAGGAAGGAAGACAATAGAAACCTCATCACTGTGTCTTTAAAATTTGTGAGCAGTAAAGAGGTGAATTTTTTTTTTAAGATTTGATTTTAAATTGACTTTAAAGAAAGGAGAGAAAAATTATCCAAGGGCCTAGGGGCCAAGGAAGCTACAAATACACTTTGAGTATATGTTTTCTTTTTTCTTCTTATTTTAACACTTTATTAATTAATTTAAATGAAAATTTACAGAGACCTAGGGTTCCCAGTCATTCATTGTTACACTTTTATCCCTGCCTACTCCCTTCCCCCAAATCACTCTTCTCCTTGAAAAGAAAAAACTTTCATTATTATGCATTATTATGCAATCCCTCCCCTCAAGTCCACGCTAATATGCAGCCCTCACTATGAAGTAATGACAAGAATATCCATTCATATATCCCTTTAAACAGTTCTCTCCCTCATCTGTTTCAATGCAATACACATCATTCCTCCCCTCCTTTTCTGTCTTCCCTCAACCTTGATGTCAGTCCCGTTTTACAACAGTTACCCTATGCAATATTTGTCCTTTTGTGACTGAGATATTTCTCAGCATAATATCCTCCAGGGTCATCTATTTTGCATAATATTTCATGAGTTCCTTATTTTTCAATGCTGCATAATATTCCATTGTGTGAAAATACCAGAACTTCTCTATCCATTTGTTTGTTGTTGGGCACTTGGGTTGTTTCCAGCTCTTTGCTTTTGAGAACAAAGCCACAATAAACATGGATGTGCTTATATCTGCTTGGGTGGCAGTTATGGATTCTTCAGGCTATAGTCCCAGTAGTGGAACTGCTGGGTTAAATGGTATCTCTATTTGCATCTTTATGAGAAAGCACCATACAGCCTTCCATAGTGGTTGCACCGTTTTACACTCCCACCAACAGTGAATAAGGGTTCCAGTTTCTCCACAACCTCGCCAGCATTTGTTGTTTGCTGTTCTGTTAAATTTTGCTATTCT